ATTGCAACAGATTGAATGCAGAAGAAAATATGAGAATCCAGTATCTTCTGTTAGGCCAGAAAGTAGAGATTTATACTACTAAAGCCTTCTTTTCCCCCCTCTGGGAAATATAGCTATTGTCATATAATATATTTTAACTTCATTAATATGCATAGGGTTTATTATTATTATTTTAAATGAATCAACAAATACATATTTTTTAAGTTTATTTTAATTTCTAATAGTAAAAGACATAACAGAATGCCCAAAATAAAAGTTCATTAATTTTTAAGAGTAAAAATGGGTCCAGTGGCCAATAAGTTTGTGAACTGCTCTTTTAACTAAATAGAGAAAGGCACCTTAGGATATATCTGCTTTTTGTTCAGGAAAAATCCATGAGTGGCCTTTTATTAGCAATGCAAACCCATGTTGAATAGGCACCTGTTGCTCTGGGAGGAAGATTAAGAGGATGTTTTGTGGCCTGAAAAAGGCTGTTCCTCAACTCTTGGTAAACAGAAGTGGTCACTGTGTGTAAATTTGCGCGGGGACCAAGAAGCACCCCCAACTTGGTGAGGAAAGTGACCAAACCCTGACATCTTCCTGGAAGAGTCAGTGTCCTTGCAGCCACTCTGAAGGCCTGAGGACTGGTAGGGACAAAGTTCCTCACCAAAGGCTTCAGAGGGGAGTCACCACCACAGAGAATTCTGCACCAGTGGCCCAGGTCCTGTATCATGGCCCTCTAGAAGGCCCAGAGGAGGAACAGAGCATGCAATTAAGGATGGCAAATCTCTCTGGATCCAGTTTCCTTGTCTCAGTGGCTCAGCCTTGGGAATAGTAACTGAACATGAACATGAACTAGAAGAGCTATTCCTTGGGAGGCCACATGTGAGCCTTTGCTGAGATCTGGACTAGCAGGGCCATTGTGCCAGCAATGCAGGCCAGGTCTGGACAGAACCACTCTTTGTGCAGTGATATCACAGCAATGACCTAGGAGCAGAGCCGTAAACTGGAGCCCACCCATGAACTGATTCAATTCTCTAGCTCTCACTCTGCCAGATGTTTGAGAGCAGAGCTCATCCCTTTGGACTGAAAAAGCTCCTATTATTCTTGAATTGGCAGGACAGCACAGCTTCCAAAGAGAGAATCTGGACTTCTTGCAAATATGAGACTTCAGTGGAGTAATAGAAAGGGTAGCAAAGATGTCTGTGTTAGTGTAGCGAGCTGGCAAACCACACTTGTGCAGGATGCTGTGCTGGGCACACAGGAACCACAAAGAGCTTACAGCTGCCAGAAAGAAACAAGAAAACAGGCTTTCATGTTATTTAGGGAGAAGTTCTCTATTAGGAATAAGTTAACAGTGCTAAGGGAACAGATAGAGGAGGACTCAACCAAGTGTCCAGGGGATTCAGGAGCAGATACCCAAACTGTGTTTATCAGGACATTTATTACTATCTGGCCAGACAACAACTCCTAAATGTCAGTGATTTAACACAATAAATACTTATTTTTTGTTCAGCTCAGGCAGATCTCTTGATGCTCTCCTTCAAAAATGTCTCAGGGATCCAGGCAGCTTCTGCATCGTGATCACACCAACTTAGAGATCAAGTCTACCCAGGCACTGCCCAGCTGGTGTAGAGGGAAGGCGGGGTGGTGTGTAAGGCAAAGTCATATCCATGTTTAACAACTTGAGTCTGGAAGTAACACACATCACTTTCATGTACAATCCATTAGCCAGGACTGTCCACATGGTCCACCTAAATGCAAGAGAGATTAGTCATGTAGGTTTCCTGAGGCCTAGCAAGAAAATGAAATTATTGGTGACCCCATAGCATTGTCTCTGCCACATAGAAGCAATTTCTAAGTTAAACGATGATGGGGGAGAACTGAAAAGATGAGAGCATTTCAGAGAGAGGGCACTGCACATCTAACCCCAGAGCAGAAATATCTTGGCGTGAAGGGGTTGGAATGAAAAATGAAAGCCGTTGAAGTGTTTTGTTTTGTTTTATTTTTTTATTAAGGTATCATTGATATACAATCTTATGCTCAAATTTCACATGAGCGATATTGTGGCTACTACATTGCCCCTATTATCAAGTCCCCACCATATACTGTTGAAGTGTTTTAAACAAGGGAACGACATGATCATATTTGTGCTTCTGGAAGATAATTATGGCTACAGCAGAGAGAATCGACCAAAGGCAGGTAAGTCAGTTAGGAAGTCATTGCAGGAATCTGGGACCGAAGTGCTGATCCAGGGTTATTGCCATGTTGTAGGAAGAAAAGCAGATGGAGTTTAGAAAGAAATGTAGTAGTAATTAAGCATATTAGATGGCTGTTGGAATAAGGAGTGGGAAGATGAGGGATGAGAAAGAGAGCAAGGATGGTGCCATTCAGTAAGACAGACAATTTTTTTTAAAAAGGAGTTATTTTAAGAGGAAATATGATATGTTTGTGGAATAGCCAAGGAAAGCCAGAAGGTATTTGAAAAGCTGGACCTAAAGACAGATCTTAATTGGATATGAAAGACATGACAGTCATCAGTATAGAGTTAGTGCTTGAAACTATAAATGTGGATTATCTGGGGAGGGTGTGAAGAGCCAGAATAGAAGCAGTAATGCTGTTAAGTGTTTAACAATCAGCTCTGCAGCAAATGCAGCCCTGATTTGTAGCATTTGCTGATGTCTGTGGTGTAAATACTCCCACTGTTGTTAATTTCAAACTACCAACTTGTCATCATTGAACATGGAATTGTGAAGAGATGCACCCAATTAGTTCTTGAGGGTGGCTGCAAGCCTACTCTGGCCACCAGTGAATAGAAGAGAGTGTTATGTACAATCCTAGCACAGATATTTAAGGGATGGACAGAACAAAAGAAATCGCCAAAGAAGAAACCTCCTAGGAACCACAGAAAGAAAGAATGTGAAGAAGGAAACAATAATCCATACTACCCACCTCTCCCCACAAAAATTAAATATGGTAAGAAACAAAAAGTGTTCATTGGATTTGGCATCAAGGAGGTCATTAGTATCTTGCGTAAGATCAGTTTAAAGGGAGACAGAGGGCAGACAATGAGCATAGAGATGAATGTGAAATCAATTGTTGGAAAACACAACTGTAGATAATTCTTAGACACCAAAAATAGGCTGGCACAGACATTGTCTTAGATTCTAAAGTCTGCTGCCTTTTAACTTTTAACTTTCTTGGTCTTCAGCTAAAAAATAGAATAGGATAAGAAATTAAGATTAAGATCTATTCTATTCTCCATATCCTGAAAAGGAATGTAAATAAGAGGAGAGCATCTAATGGGTAATCATGGGTGTAAAAATAAAATGAGTTGTATACAGAAACGAAGGTATAATCATGATCATTTTGTTACAGGCCCACTTTAATCAGATTGATGAATATAATCCAACATTTTGATTTGCATTCAGAAAGCCAATTTGTTTCTAATATCATTTAATATCATCTAATATTCTAATATCAGCTTCACTTGAACTGTGTGTTCAAGTGAAGTTTTATGACCAAAAGAATTGTTTCAATGGTCAAAGTGATTTGTAAATTAGAAAGTCATAGATCAAATTAATATTATCATTTTTTAAATGCAGATAATGTGAAGAGTTGCAAAGAAAATAAATCATCCACAATTCTCCACAATTACTGTCTGGATCAAGGTCTCGGTGTACATAGCTATTCTTTTTATAAAAATGAGATCATGCAGTATCAACTATTTTATAATTTGATTTTTTAAATTTAACATTATTTTATGAGAAATTCTTATGTCAACAAGCCATTCCACATTATCATTAAAAACATAAATAAATAGTCTGGATTCTATTTTCCAATAGAAAATAGACCAATCATTCAAAACCATACTATTCCTCGCTCCCCTCCACACACATAAATGCCTAAATTCTGTACTTCTATGCCTTTCACAATGGACCTCAAATAAATGGTACCATTTCCCCAGGAGGCATGGAAAAATGTACGGGATGCAAGCTGGACTGTGCTGCTGCTCACTTGGTTCACTACAATTCCCAGGTCCCCTTCCCCGTGCGATCTGCACTGTGCTAGCTCTGGCCAGAGAGGAACTTGTGCAGCAGTGAAGCAGCAGCCATTGTCATCAGGATACAGATAAAATGGGGCACGTCTAGAACTACAGTCAGATACAGTGAGGGACAGACTCAGGTGTTTGGCAGGCCCCAGTTTGCATCATCTCCAGGCTGTGTCCCAGATAGCTTCCCAACTGCTGGCCCTCAGGCCAACAGCTCTCCCAGGTAAAGCCTTAGTTGTGCAAATGCAGACCCCAGAGCCCCAGGACCTGCCCAGGAGCTCTTCCCTTGGGCCCCACTGTGGTGGCTGAGTTGTGTCAGCCTTTCAGGTTCTCTGCAGCTCCAACTTGTCTGCCCACCTCCATGCTGCACGCTGAGGTGGATAAGAACTCTTTATTCAGTCCTTCAAGTCCCCTCCCAGACTTTCACTTCCCTGGTTCCTCTGACATTTCTGTAATGTCTCTACATCCTCTCCCTTCTCTCCAGAATGCCCTGGATGGCTTTGCTTCCCTAGTTGATCTCTCAGCAATAAATACTGGTGCTGGAAGCAAAACCCACCGTTTGTAGATTGCGTTTGGGGATGGTGCAATGGGTAGAGACTGGAAAAGCAGCAAAAGTATTAGCAAGGCTGGAAAACAGTGAGTGAAAGGGTCACCGGCAGTCTGGGAAGGTGGTGATGAACTCCTCCCACAGCATGGAGTGGGGATTTCTGTCACATGGCAGTACAATAGCCAGCACCTTTGTCACCTGTGGTAAACTGGAAGATAGAAAAATATACCTAATGAACTTTTTGGCTCTTGCTGTGGTGAAATACTGTGACTTCCTTAAATCTCACCAACTGCACAGATGAAAACCAGTGCTACAATAGCAATCACAGTGGTCACTTCACACACGCTAACTCAGACTCTTGAAAAACTAAGAGCTGCTTAATCTGATCACAATTTAGACATTTCAAGAACAAATTTTCTCTCAGTTTTATGATTGTTATAATTGCAGATAATAAGACAAGTATGGTTATCTGTTGCTGTGTAACAAACCTCAAATCTTAGTGGCTTAAAACAATGATCTGTTCTTTTTCATGATTCTGCTCGAGATTCAGAACATCTTCTCTTGATTTTGCCTGGGCTCACGAGGCAGCAATCAGTTAGCAGGTGTGTGAGGGGCTAGGCTCAGTAGGGAGAGCTGAAACAGCCAGGGCCCTTTCTCTCTTCATGGTCTTTCATCTTAGGCTTCTCCACACCAAGGGAATAAAGGTGGAAGCTGCAAAGCTTCTTGAGGAACTGGGACACCACCACTTCCACCGTATCAAATTTGTTGAAGTAAGTCATCAAGGCCAGCCCACACTCTACAGGGGGTGGAGAAGAGATTTCACTTCTGGATGGGAACAGAAAAGTCACATTACCAAGGGCTGTACATTCTGCAACAGGATGAACTGTGGCCATTAAAACAATTGTTGTGATTCCACACTATATTTTCACAGCTCAGACAAATCTAAGTATTGTTAATGATATAGCTCTGATTTCTAAAGAACAAAGAAAAGCAAAATGAAAATCAACAAAGCTATTCCCAAACAGCTTTGTTGTAAGAGTTTTTATAAACTCTATTCTCAAATAGCTTTTTAAAAGATTTTTATAAAAACCTACAAATATCTATCCTTCCCTCTATGCCTACACACACGGGGAACAGTTCTCCCTCACCACTGACCATTCAATTTCTAGTTCTTTTTTATGTCAAAACATTCCTTCTGCTTTTTAGTTAGCTATGGCAGTACCTTCATCAGTAGTGGAGCTTGGCAGTTACCTCAGTTTCCTACTTATTTTGGCCATTTGCCACTTAGAATATTAAGTCTCCTGAGACAAGCTGTCAAAGGCAACACTTGTGAAACTGTCTATTGCATTTCTTCCAAGCCCATTGGGAAGAGCAACAACACTCCCACAGGGCAAAGCAATGCCCCCTGAATCTAGGAGGGGTGAGAACCTAGAAAGAGCTGGGCTCTGACGCACAGCTTCTGGCAAAATCTACAGAACTACTTTAAAGTAGCCAGTTGGGAATTAAATTTTAATGGGACCTTTTTTGTTGCTCAGTGATTTTTTGGAGCCAAAAATCAGCCAGATATTTTGTAAGAACTAAACAATACCTAGATTTATTCACAGGAATATTCCTCAATTTTTCCTTAATCAACAAAAGAAATGTAAAGCACTTCCTTCATTTACTTTTAACTGTTTGCTGAGGAACTTGGACAGACTCAGTTCAAGTCCCAAATTACAAAAACTGTTGAAAATATTGATGTCTTGAGAACACTGGTATTTGCCATTGTAGAGAAAAGAAGTTAAAAATCAGGTGGCAGTAAGTCCAGAATAAGAAAATAATTAACTAAAGTAACTAAGCTTTCTGAGTTATCCATAAATACTTCTAAAGTACTATTCACAATATTACCTCTGGGATTTTATGATTACTGTATTTGGTATTATTAACTTAGCTAAAAACATTTGTTCACAGGTAGATAAAACAAAATACATAGGAGAAATTGATACCAAAATAATAAGTTGACACACTTCCTGCTCAAAAGGAAAAGTAATAGAAAACAGATTTCTATGGTAAACTAAGGAAATTTTAATTTATTTTAATTTTTCTATTGAGTCTAATGTTCTATTTCTCATTAGTGATTTTTAAATTCTTATAATATGTAGTTAATTATTTAATGAAAGCTATCAAATCTTTTCATATAAGGAACATGCTAGGAGTTCCAATCAATTTTATTTAATTTATGAGATATCACACTGTTTATATACTTAAATCCATGTGTATTTTATGAATCACATTTATTTTATGAACTTCTGGATAACACACACATTTTTCCTATTCCTCTTAATATAATGGATATAGTCGTTCACCTAAGGCACAGTTGATTTTCTTGTTGGTGGCCATTACTGTTTAGATTTTTAGTTATATAGTCAGACATTAACTTTTAAGCTTTGGGACAGTATATCTGTCTGATACATCACTTCTTCCCAGGATTTCCCCAGAGCACTATAAATCTCCAGTGAGAAGGAAGTATGGACTAGTGGGTAAGAAAAATTTCCAGAAATGAATCCTTGTTAAAAACTGCACACAATTGAATATTTTGCATTTTAAGTTATTCTTACGCTATCTCCAAAGGGTCAAGGATTAAGCTTTCACTCGCCCTGATAATTTTTCTTGTTCCACATTTATAAGGACTATAAAATAAGGAAACTTTCATTTAAAAAAATTAAACCCCTCTGGGTGGTTTCCCAAAGCACCTCCCCCATTACTTAAGACTTTATTATTTCAGCTACTTGGGTACATAATACCTACAGCTCTAGCCAGGTCTATGAGAGTTCTGTGACTGATGCCTAATGGAACCAATTTTCACTCTGGCAGAACAAATTCAGGTTCTAATACTAACTTATATTCCAGTTTCTTTTGGATGCCAGGAATCAGACACTTTAAGAAAAAAATGTATCAGAGCATCTGCTTATTAAGCTATATTCCATTTATTTCATCTAAATAGCTAGCAGGAACAATTGACTAAAGTAAATCTTAAGTAAAAAACAAATCATCTTTTAATTACTGAATTTGCTTTATTCTGTTTTTAGCCTTATTTCTCTCTTCTCTTTCCTGGCCTCAATTTTCTACAAACTTCCCCTTTCTCCACTGAGAACTACAGACATTCTTTGAAGAGAAACAAATGTTTCATCACACTTACCCACCTACACTAACACAATCATATTACAGTCACAGTCCATTGACTGTCACTCACATTTTTATTACCTGGCATCTGATAAACACTGATGCACTTGGGTGTCTTCCTCTGCCCTGGAAGGAAAAATAATTATTTAAATGGAATTCTAAAAGTTAGCATGTTTTGTCAATAGCTTCATTGTTCCTTCATTGTATTCATTCATCACATCCTGCCTGCTATTGAAATCTTTCCTTACTTTCCAACATTATTAAAGTCAGTCATTATTAAAGTCATCTCAAAGAGAGATACCTCTGCAACTTCAAAGATACTGTCAACTAAGAATCATATTTTCAGTACTTTAAATTCTATTGTATTTTCAAGCTTCTGAAACAAATATAATATTCTCCCATATTTCCTAAGATGGCATTTCATGTAGACAATGATGTGATAGGAAAGATAATACTTATCTAATGATCTTGGCATTGCCCCTAGATAACTGTGCTCCTCTGTTAGAAAACCAGTAATGGTTTTCTTATTATCTGAACACATTAATGTGCATGCTCTGGAGTCTTAAATGTCTTGCATCTGAGAGAAAAATCACTGGAAAAACAACTTAGTAGTCCTGTTTGTATTCATCTAGTTTCATTAAAATAGCCCCTGAGCACAAATTTTTTTATAACAATCACATATTATTCTCCAAGATCACTTAAGGGATTATTGTGTTGTTTTACTTTTCACAAAATCAGATTTCATTAAACTTCATGAAAAGACCCAAAACATAAATTACTCTACAGTTTCCAACTTTCCAACCCTTCCTTCAGTAAGAATCAGTTAAGTAATTTAAACCAGATACTTTACGTTGTTGGAGGTAAGCTCAATGAACAAGTCTATCTGTCTGGAATGTGTGCACTGTTACATTTAGTAATTTCCAATTAACATGAAGTCGTTTTGTCAAAATATGACTGCGAATGGGAAGCCACCATTCTGAATATTTGGAACAACTATGGTTCATTTTTTTTATTTGTTGATATTTTGATATAAAAATATTGTTTAAACTGTTCACTAATGCTGTTTTCTATTTAATCACAAAGAAATAAATTTAAAGCAAAGGTAATGATTTTATTGCTTTAAAACAAAGATCCCTGAAGAAACACAGTGAAAAATAAAGCAGGTTCACAACAGTGTTCCAAACTTCATTGGAAACTTAAAACATGAGCATGGATTTATAGATTATGCATTATAGGCTGATTAGGGGAAAGTCTGCACATGATGTATACTCAGTGTGTGTTCATGTGAGGGAAAGAAAGAAAGCCCCCAAAAAGAGAGGGGGAAAAAGCCACTACTGCATAATGAGAATTATCTCTCTCAGGAGATATATTAATGGGGAGTGGGGAGAAAGACAACTTAGGGCTCTTCTCGCTGATGACAAAAATCAGCCATCATATATAACTTACTACAGAATCTCTTGGAAGCAGACTAAATACAAACCCTGTCGCATGTGCATACGTGTGCAGATGGATATACACATTTTCTCTCCTGAAATGTTTATCTCAAATCCGCTTTAAATCAAAATGAGTTGAGCTTCAAACAGAGGCTGGATGAGAAAGAACCTTCTAAAAACCCTGCTCAACCCAGCAAATGCTTTAAAAGTGAACTGAGAGGAATCTCTCAATTAAATTACATAAACATGCTCCAAGGACTACCTTCTGTATTTGGATTTTGAAAGTGCCCAGGCTTTTAAAGAACAAAGAAGGAAAGCCTCCTCCATCCTTCCTTCACTCCCTCCCTCACAATTTGGTCACTCTATTTTTCCTAGTATTTCTTTTTAAAGAAAGACCTGCTTCCTTTTTTCTTTTTACTTCCTTCCCTCTTTCTACTTCCGCCACCACAAGTTTAACTGAAAATGGTTTTCCACATACTACCCATAACACATCACTATGGGAAGGAGACACCCACTATCCTGATCCGGGCGGTCATCCCACCCCTTCCCTGCGCCCCTGCTCTCCCTCGCTTCTCTGGGGAACCCCAAGGGGTCGAGCACCCCAGGCAGGGCGCGCGGTAAGTTGAGAGTTTGCCCTGGTGCCACTCAGTGTATCTACTAACTTCTGCTTTTCCCCGGGGAAAACTGCGAGACTTGAAGCACGTCTGCAGGTGCTTCTTCGGTTGTCTTGGAGGTCTCGGAGGCCCCGGCCGACCGGCCCAGACTCCTACTCTTCCAGTCTAGGGCTTAGCAGGAACCTGGATGTGGGGCCAGTTCAACGCGCTCGGAGCCCCCGACACCCAAGCCACCCCATCTGCCTCTCAGCCCGGGCAGATGGGCTTGCATGGAGTGTGTGGCCTCGGCGTGACCCGTGGAGCGGCGGGACGTGGGTAGAAACCGCCGCCCGGAGAAGCTGAGGTTCTGCCCCCGGCGCAGGGTCGCCTCCCGCGTGTCCCTGGCCAGACCCCGGAGCGAGCAAACGTGAGATAGGATCGGTCTCCCTCTACGACCGAGAACAGGCCTTTTGTTGAGAAAGAAAACATACGGAAAGTCAGCTCGCGCGTGTTTTGGTTTTTCATCTGTTTGCCTTCCAATTAAAAAGCGGCCGCCTAGGCGACAGCTTTGCGGTTTTCACAGTGTAAAACGGATTAGAGGAAAGGCTCTATTCCCTCTCGACTTTCGCTTGCGGTTTGCAACCCCCCGCAGCGGGCGTGACCCTGCGGCACCTGCCCAAGCAGGTTTCCCTAGCGGCGGCGGACCTGCGGCCTGCGCTTCCCTAGGGCCGTGCTCGGTGGGGCGGGGCCAAGGCCGGCGCCCCAGGGAGGCAAGGTTCCCACGGCGCAGGTGAACCTCCCGCGCCGGGCCACGGCCCCTCCCCTTCCTTCCCTCCCCGCGCCCTCGCGTCGACCCCGGGCTCTCCTCCGCAGCTCTGGTTCTGGGCGTGCTAGCGTCCGGGGACAGCCCCGGGTTACCCGCTCCAGGACGCGGAGTAGGGAAGAGCCACGAGAAGGCTTTCACTGCAGATGGTACCACAACCAGAGTTGGCTTTTCGTGTCCTGCTCCGTGTTCATAGGTTTCCCCCAAGAACGTCGAGTTCACTGAGGACACACATCCGAGAAACGTTGAGATTACACGCACATTTAGTTAAAAGGAAAAAAAAAAACTGCGCTTGGATCGCTCCACGTTTCCTCCTTTCACCACATAAACAAAGCATCCAGGCGAGAGGCGGCTGAAGCTGGGGTCGCCGGAGATGCGCAAGGAGGGGTTCCCGGCGGGGCTGCCGCTCCTCCCGAGTCTCTCTCTAACCCGCACCTATCCACGAGCTTGCTGGACTGGGCGCTGAATGTGATTCCCGGATCTGCCAGTCTTGTCCTGAGCTGTTAGATCTGCAAGACCCACGGACGGGTCAACCCTTGGCTACCCTTTCCTGCTGGCCTTCTGCTTTTAATAAACGAAAATAAAAGTTTGCTTTCCGGTTAAAGAAACGTTTTGGTGTTTCCGCCCTGGCGCTTGACTTACGCCTCCTTTCATACCCATAGGGAATTATCAATTGTGATGGTCGAGACCGAGACCGGGGCATCCGCGGACGATGGCCTGCAGGAAGTGGAGCCGAGGGATCAAGGGAATAGCTGCAGGGACCAGCAGACTCTGACCGTTCTGGACGGTCAGCCCCGCTTGGCGAGGGAGACTTGCAGCGGGTGGAACCACGGGTGCAAGAGGGCAGAGCTCGCGGGTGGGGAGCCAGGCGGTTCCACCTTAAGAGTCCGTGCGGCGCGGCGGCTGCGGAGGCTCCAGACACCTGCAGGAGGCGCTGCTGCCCCGCGGTTCCGTCCGCGCCGCGGCTCGCTACTGGAGCGCAACTCCCGGGCCTCGGTCCACGGAGGGGGTGGGGACGCTGGGGGAGGAAGGGAGCGAATTCTGCCGTTAGGTAAGGAACCCGAGTCCTCCCTGATTTTGAAGCGGCCTCAGTGAGGCGTTTGCTGGAGGGAGCTTTCCGTCATTCGGCCGCGAGAGGAAATGTGGGGAGGCGCCCTCCCCTGCCCCCACCGCCTGCCTTCCTGCCTCCCTCCACTTCTGTTCTCCGACCCCGACCGTGCTTCCCAGACCCTTTGTTCTCCAGGCTGGGAGCTGCTGGGTGGGGGTTCTCCGGGGATAAGGTCCCTTTGCGCCACTCCGCTGTGAAGGGACTCTTGCCTCTCCCTCCCACCAGCCCTACCCAGTTGGCTGACCCTTATCCCACGGCCCCCTTCCTTTGCGCCTGGATGCTGCCTTTCCGACCCGGACTCTCCTAGCCTCCGAGCTCGGGCTCCCAGGCCTGCACTGTTAACCCGCCTCCCTTCCCACTGCGCCACCTCCGCGGCTTCTAGGAAGGGTGGACTAGGCGGGCGTGAGGAGGAGAGAAAGCATCTCGCCTCAGCTGCGCGAAGAATCCCCAGGGACCCTCTGAGGCCCGGACCCCTGGGACCAGCCGACTAGGAAGGGGTTTCCTGGCGCCACCGCTGGGCTGAAGGCCCCCACCCGCGCCACGTCCCCAGGCCGGACCCGAGCCCCCAGATGGAGAGAAGGGCCCCCGGAGTTCGCACCCCTTGGGAGGCGAACTGCCAACGAATGCCCCCTTCTTCCCTCCACCCACCCTTCTGGGTGCCACCCGCATCGCCTCTGCGCCGCGAGCGACACCACGGGCTCCGCGATTGTGTCTTCCCGAGTACAGCTACAGTTGCGCTCCGCTTAATTTCTTAGTCGGGCGAAGGCGTCGCGGAGTGAAGCCAGGGACCAGGGATACGGGGGAAGAGGAGAAGCCGGGCGGGAACGTGAGCGGAGAGGTGGGAGGACGTGGCTGGGCAACCCAGCCGGAAGGGATCCCCGAGTGCGGCTTAAAGCAGCAGGGCTGTCAGGAAGGCCAGCGCCCCGGCGGGGGCGACCGAGCCCTCCACGTCCTCAGCGCTGCGGATGCGCCTACGCAGAGTGCCATCTACGCTCCCCGCGCGCTCGCCACCGTGGAGGGGGCCGCCAGAGCCGGGTCACAGAGTAGGTTTCCCCCTCCCCCCGGAGAAGTGAACGCGGCCCGCGGCCATCAGACCGAGGCTTCCCGGAGTTCCCTCCAGCCTCTGTTGTGACCCCAGACCTCACTGGCTGGTGGAGAGCCGCGCCAGCAGTTCTCCCGGCAGCGGGTTCCCCGGGACACACCCCGTCCCCACCCCCGAGAGCTGGCGGCCAGCATAGGATGCCAGGCGGCCAGGCGGGCGCCCTGCCAAATTCCGCGTTCCTCTCCAGGAGACGGGGGGCTGTGTTCCAGGCTCGGGAAAGCCCGCACTTTGGGCTCGGGACTCGCTTGCAAAGCCCCCCAAGGCGCCAGGGACGCCTCTGCAGGTTGAATTCCTGCTTCGTATCATTTCAATTTTAATTAATCTTTTAAAACAGCGCTGTCACGTCGCTTGCAGAAAATTAATCAAACCTGAATCCTTGTTGCATAGCAAGAATTTCGATCGAGTCTTTTAAAAAGGACTTGACTTTGCAAAGTCACGTCTTATACAGTTCTCTCATTCCCCCTTTAGCAAGGGAAATACTGCAAAAGTCAAGACGTGTTTGTTTGGTTCTTTCTATGCTCAGAATGAAACTTTGCTTATTTCTGATCTTTATTTTCTGTCTCTGAACAAAAAATGAGATAAACTGCCTACCTCTCTTAATTCAAAATATAATTACTTAGAATGATCTTTGTTTAAGAGCCCAGATAAACTAAGATAATCTTAATTTTAATGTGACACGACCCCTACTTTTCCTTGTGAATAATTAGAATAAAGCAGTCATTAATTAATACCAAGATATCTCCATAGAAGATGGTATCTGGTCTCACTGAAACACTGAAACATCAGTTGTATTAGTAACTGATACTGTATAATTGAACATGAAGATAGTCGTCTATTTTTAACCTCAAAGCTCAGGGTTTATTTGGTGATTACTGAGCTCCTAATAATTAATTTTCGTTCCTACTTGCTGCATAAATAACGCTTATGATTCCCAGTTCCCATGCAACACAGAGGCTTCTCATTAAAATCTACACCTCAAAATATAAGATTGTGGGCTATATTTTGCAGCAACTGATTCCATTCCATTATTTATAACATATTAGCTTTATTCTTATATCTTCCTGTCATAGTCCCTTTTGCTGGAATTTCCTACTAAAAAACAGGAAAATGTAACTATAATATCTTTGACCACAGATTTGTCTTTCTGTATTCTCTTGGTTCAATTTAATATATAATATTTACTTTAATATATAATACCAATTGCCATACAAATTTCCAAGATTTGAGGATAAGCTCCACTGAAGAATGAAAAAATTTTGTATAGTGAAGTGACCATAGATTATACTCCCACCTAACACAGTTGCACATTATCTTACACTTTTCTGTCGTTAAAAATAAGACTTTTCTTAAACACATTCCCTTTTTCCAATTGAAGACCAGCTCTGAGCAATGGTTAAATTTACATGTTGACACAACTGTTGACATTTTTAAAAAAGAAAAAGAAAAAACTACCCTCCCAAGAAATAGAGAAGTCTTCCAAATAATAATGGAAATTTAAGGTATCTAATTATTTATTGGCATCAATTTGCTGATGATCCTCACTTTTTATCCAGTGGAGGGGGATTATATGCAGAGAAAGAACATACAAAACAAGCTCCCTATATATTTCTCCAGTATATCTCCCCAAATAAGTATTAAATATTTCATGCCACATAAAAATTCTTAGTACCTACCCTACCAAACCTTCTCACTTTGTCAGTATTATTCCTAAAGTGATGAAAAGTGTACTGGTTTCCTACTTTTATTTCCTCCATAGAACAACTAAAAGTTTAGGTCAATACTATGTCATGGAGTAATTCTCTCCTCTTGGATTTTATATTTTCCCACTATACTTGAAATGGGATTAAAACAGGATCTAGAGTTCTAATCTTGGTTGATGTTTTGGTGTATCCATCGTAATGAGTCCTATTCCCTGGGGTCATGAAGCTCCCAAACGTCAATCAAGCAAACTGATTCAGAAATGCCATTGTTCGACTCCCACGTCACTCGCCTTCCTCTCATTTTATTTAACAATACCGGAGTTCTCTGATCAGTCATTCGGAATATGAGGCATTATCTGGGGAAAATTCACAGTGTCTTGATCTTTCTTTGGAAGATACTGTTAAGGGGTTTCCGCAAATCAGAAAGTGCTTGTTTATATTTCTGTCTTACTACGGATCGAAAGAACCAATGAATACCGCTTGAAAGAAAATCATACCGTAAATCCTTCAAAAATTCGTCCAGTTGAATGTTACATTTCTATTTTCGTGTTGGAAGCACCCTGACTTGTCACCGGAGGAGAAGTATGACCAGCTCTGGGACCAGTTGACATGCCCCCACTTTAAACCCCGTCTTTTTTTTTGCCACATTTAAGAATACTAATGTGTTTAGTCTACACTAGTTAGCCACGAATTTATCTGGGAGCAAGGAGGAGCCGACCTTTGCCTCGGGAACTCTCCCCGGCCCAATCAGACACGTCGGGGAACTTCCGCAACTCGCACTTCCATCCACAGCCCTGGGCCATCTACGCCTCGGTCCCAGGTCCAGGACAATTCCCAGCGCCAACGGCGTTGAGCGTGTGACTCGCTCCGAACAGCCTAAATTAATAATCAACTTAACTTGTCGAGGCTTTGAGCCTTCATCTTGAGCTCCCTGCAGGCTCCCGGTGCGGAGCCCCGCTCCTGCGAGGGCTTCCATGCAGGGAGGCAGGCGTGCAGCCAGATTTCCGGGGAAAAGCTGTCGCTTGCGTCTTTCACCTAAAGGGCTCTAGGGAAGGAGGAACGAACCAACCCTCCGGGTGTGGGTTCTCACATCAGGATTCATCCCAGATCGCGGCACCGCTGTGGCTGACTGCGGGTCGCGCGTTCTTACGCGAACACTCGCGTTTGCTGCATGCACCTCCAAATGCACTGGCCCGCGCGGTCCGCGCGCACTTCGAGACGAAGTGACACGGGAAGGCGGCGGAGGTGGGGACAGGGGGTGGAGCCGCTCTCCTGTGGCACGCCATCTCACTTTTAAGTAAAGTATTCAAAAGTTCCAACCTCCCCTTTGGAGAGGAGAGGACAGCTTCCTGGGGCCTGATTCTCTCTGCAGCCCGCGGGTTGCCAGCAGCCGAGCCGCTCCACAATGGGGGACCTAGGATGCCCGTCTCAGGAGCCACTTTCTGGAAACACCTTTTGCCGCCCGCGCAGCCTGTCAGAGGGCAGTATGGCTTCCCCGGGCGACCGGCCCCCTCTCGGCACAAACTCTCCGGCCCGCACCACCCGGGGCGCACGCTTTTCCCTTTCTCAGCAAGCGGGAGAGGCCTGCACGCCGAGGCCGGCGGCGCGGCCGGCAGCGGAAACCCGAGCTCCCTGCGAGCCGCTCTGCACTGAGGGGCGGGGAGAGCGCCGGCAGGCAATTCCCGGAGGGGGCCGGGCGAATTCCTCAGAAAAACCCCTCTCAGAAACACCAAAACCATCCCAAAGACCTGGCTCTCCCCTCCCCGCACCCCGCGGCCTTTCATCCTG